AGTCCAAATTTGCATTAACGATGTTTCACTGTTACATAAGACGTTTGACCATGTTCATAAAGGCAAACGTCTGAAGTATCAGAAAAACCAAAACAATGCAGATCTGTACTTCGGTCCTTTGTGTTTATACGAGTAAAACGTCTAAAATGTTCAATCAAACCAAAACAATGTGATTGTGCACATCGAAATTTTCATGTCAACCATTTTTCTATTATTTCCGCGGGGGGGGGGGGAGTGGGGGGTTGACAATTATTCACGGCCCATACAAATTTTAAAATTTGTATATGGACAATTGTCTACGCTTGGGGATGGGGGGGGGGGTCAAGAATACCGAAAAGCTGTCTACGTAGGTAATGAAGAGCCCCTAAAATAACACTGTTATCAAATAAAAAGCAGCTCACGTGACCACCAACGATCGACCATAACAATCTGTGGGCAGTGTTGCAATATACCGATAAAAAAAAAGTTGATGCGCATATTTTAATTTAATTTTAAACAAGTTAATTTAACATCATATACGATTTAATCTGTAATAACAAATTCATTTTGAAAAGTCTTACGATGTAATCCGATTTAATTTGTGATACAGTACGATGGAAAAATGAGCCATCGCATATTGGTCGGAAATTTGCATTCTATACGATTTAACTTAAACATAATGCGAGGTATGCCATTCTTATATGCGGTTTTGACTAAAACTGTAGCAATTTACGATACTGTCTGTACATTATTATACGACTTCTGGTTGTCTGGGGTATCCAAAGTGTTATTGATAGAACCTTCTCAAATGTTGTACTTGATGCAATTTATCTTGGTGCTGCCTGCTTCGTTATATGCAAAATTTTCCTGAAAATCTCTGAACTTCTGTGAAATTTCCAAAATGTTCCTGTTTGTGCATCGTAGATTATTTGTGCCACTACCCTACCCACTGTAAGGGTACGGCCAGGGTAGACGCGATTCGCGACGCGACGCGACCAATTCAAAAGAATCTTATTATTTATTATTATTCCTTGCGTGAGTCGCATCGCGTCGCGTCGCGTGTCGCGTCTACCCTGGCCGTGGCCTAAGATTCTAGAAAACAATATACAACACAATAAAACAGTGTCTTGTATGCCTCCGCTACCTATCGACCCATCAACTCACGAACCGGAGACCAACGGCCCACTTCCCTTCTGAAGGAAGGCGTGATCAGAGATGTTATGCCTCAGAACATCCCGACGGCGTCAACTGCGATTGAACAAAATGTTCCTAAGTTTTCATAAACTTTTAGAAGCTCTCTGGACTCTCCTGAAATTTTTGGAACTTCTTAAAGTTTCTCAAAAGATTGCTGACGTTCACAGATCTTTAAACTTGTCTGAAAGTCTGGATGTCGTTGAAGTTATTGTGACAGTCTTAAGATCTATGCGCTCCTCTGATAATCTTTAGACCTATCTTCCCTGAGGTTCTCGGAACTTCTTTAACGTTTCCGCAATTATTCTCAAGTTATCTGAAATTTACTGAAGATTCCTTAAGCTCTCTGGATATCTCTGAAGTTCAATGAGAAAAGTTCTGGCAGTTTCCCTTGCAAATAACAATTTTGGGCTTACACAATGGTTTCGATCAGAAGTGACGTTTTCGTGCTATAATTTATTGAATAATGTCAAATATGCCAGTTATAAAAAATAAAGATCCAAGATGGCCGATTTTTTACAAAAATGCGAATGACTGCCAAGGGGTGTTCAACTCTGCACATCTCAATCTGTTGCCGAAAGCTGGGTCAAGCGTTGTGCCGAACGTGCGGAAGTATGGAAATCAAGATATCAGTCTCAGTATCCCATGAGTTTGGCATCCCTGCAGTTATGACTTTTGAGATTTATTTGTATACAGTTTCAAGTTCCCACAGATGAAAACGGGAAAATTGGAGAACATTCATTTCAAGATAAATTTCAATATTAAACGATCTCGTTGCCAGTCATCAGCTTCAAGGAAGTGACACTAGAAAAACAGCCCCTCTATGAGACAGAGAAGTGTGACTGATGGCAGAAGCTGGAGCAGGAGAAGAAAGTTATGAACCGTTCGTCGTTCTGGCAGGCATTTGCCGAAACCAAGTACCCAACCGGCAAGTGGAAGATTCTATGCATTGCCACTCGGGAAATGATAGTAGAAGCAACAATAGACCGCAGTAGCTTCCCAGAGTCAGCAGTCGTGGTTGGCAGCATCCAAATTTCGGTCCAGGATCTTATTACTGGTTTCAGTCGTTTGATGATATCTGCTTGTTGTTCGTTCACATTTTATATCTTTCTTGGTCATGCCGGAATCGCATATTAGTCTCCCTGAATCTGTTGGTGGTTCCAATTGCGTTCAATAATACCGTGAATCAGATTGTCTCCGTTACCTCCGGTGTGGCTACTTTTACAATTCTGTTAGCAGCATCTTTCTTATTATTGCTATTGCCGTCAGTGAAACGAACAACCAGTAGTGAATGAGCGTAGAGAGACTGCGAACCGGTAACATGGGATCTAAGTACTAGCTTCACCAGCCTCCACAGTCATCGTTCGGCACCAGGCTTTTGTTGATATTGTACATGAGCCCTGAAATCGGCACTGCATTCTAAAATTCTTCTTACCCATACAATTGGCCTTAGGTCCGAATTCTCCGGCCATCTGCGGGTAACACGTATTCAAGTCTATTTTACGTGGCGTGGTTACTCTAACTAACAAAACTTCCCTTTCCTCTTTACTTTGAATTAAACAAAGTAGTAGACCTTAGCAACGATTGGCAAAGTTTAAACGCAAAACATGGATGCCATTATATATTATATTTTGTGTCATACTTGTCATCGTGTGCCATGACGTGCCGATCAGTGTGCCACGATGTGTTTCGGCACAGTGTGCAGAGTTGATTACCCCTTGATAACTGCCCATAACACAGAACTATGCAAAGTTTTATGTAAATCGATGAAGGTCGAGTCAACATTTGTTTTTTTTTGTATATTTGACCTGGAACATCTATACAATCTATAAAAAGAGATCCTGCAATTTTCTAGATATTCATAGAACATCTCTAAAAATCCCTGAGTTTTCCTGAGATCTCTGAATTTTTCGTGAATTTCTTGGGACCTCTTGAGATTCTGTTGACTTCAATGAAGTTCACTGTACTTTTCTAAAGTCCTCAGAACTTCTAAAAGATCCCACAATGTGGCTGAAGTAAATTGGACTGCTTTAAATTTTTTGAACCTACCCGGATGCTCACGGAACTTCCTTTAAAATATTGAGACTTTCCTAACCTGCTCTGGACTTCCTAAGAGTTCCCACAATTTTTTTGAAATTCAAGGGAAGTACCTGAAGTTTTAAAAATTTTCCATAAGTTCTCGAAACTTCTTTTAAAATTTCTGTAATTTCTCTGATGCTAATGGAAGATTATCTGATCTTCCCTAGAATTCTTAAAATTCTTCGGAAGCTCTTACCAACAATCAATTTGAAACTAACGATTTTAAATTGGCTCACTACTTGACTAGCCTATTGGTCCCAAGCAAACGATTAACGTATCCCATTCTAGTCAAAAATCTAGTACTACACTATGTTTGTTTTGATTTGCTATGAAAGTTTAACAGATACAATGAGGGGTTCATGGATTTTCTTATGTTTCGATTAGCTTGGGACCGAAGATAGTACCAGAGCTGAGCCAAAAAGTTGAACACGAATCTTCGGGACCTTCTGGTCTTAGAGTTACCTCTATGGTATTACCATAGAGGTAACTCTAAGACTAGAAGGTCCCAAAATAACGTGCTCAACATTTTGGCTCAGCTCTGGTACTCTCTTCGGTCCCAAGCTAATCGATTCACCCCTCGAAACATAGGAAAAACCAATAACCCCTCATTTTATCTGTCAAACTTTCATAGCGAATCAAAACAAACAGTACTAGAATTTCGACTAGAATGGGGTACGTTAATCGTTTGCTTGGGACCAATAGGCTAGTCAAGTAGTGAGCCAATTTAAAATCGTTAGTTTCGTATTGATTGTTGGTATTACTTTTAACTAGATAGAACAGTCATAAGAATCCCTAAGTGGTGGAGTTTTCAAATCTTTTATGAAGTTTCCACATCTCAGAAGTTTTCTGAACTACTTGAAAATGAGGAAGCATCTCAAAATTTACCAATATTTTCCTGAAACTAATGAAACTGCATCTTCTCTGATATTCACCCAATTCTAGAAAATGCCCTGAGCTTACGCAACTTCTTTTAAAATGTTCCCGCATTTTCCCGATGGTCATGAATCTTTCTTGAAGATCTTCTATGAAGTTCCCGAAGTACTCTGAACTGCTGTGTTCTCGAAGATTTCCTGAAAATTAATAACTTCGCTGAAGACCTTTGAACTTCCCTCAAATACAAAGGACCTCTTTTCCTGAAATTAAATCGAAATAATTTATTAAGTTCTTGGGTTGTGAATGAAGCTATCTAAATTTTCCTGAAATTCGTGGAACTGTCCATAAACAATCGAATCTAATTCTCCTAGATGTTCCCTTTAAGTCTAGACTTTCCTTGACGATTTACCTGTTTTCCTGATGTTACTCGAACTGCGCGAAAGATCTGTGAACTTCTCTAAGACTTCTCAGAATGTTTTTTTTTAAGTATAATAAAAATTCCAAAACCCATTCTTTAAACAATAATAAATACATAACATTTTCTTCTATAACCGTTTTGTTATAAACCAAACAGATTATGAGATACATTTGATTGAAAGCGTACCGATTCTAAATCCATCTTGATACACTGTAGTTGATAGAAACGTAGATCAATAAACCTCCCCGAATGTAGAACAAAGTTTAAAAGGGAATTTCGAAGCAAACAACAACCATCGCATAAAGATTATACGATATTATTCTTCCACTATCAACATACTGAGAACTTCACCCTTGATCGACTGGTAAGATGATATTTGAGCAACGATCTTAAAAACTATAAAGAGCACATTTCGAGGGGTAACATTAAAACTCCTACCCGTGTTAATCCGAAAGCCTATCAACTAACAAATGCACCTACCATCAGTCGCGTCTTACACTTCCTCCGATTCCACAATATTCAGATTCACGGAGTCGTTCGCCAACGTCTCTCTAGCCCAGAGTACCGCGTCGTGAACCGTTGGGAAGATCTTACAGTTTAGATGATCTTCAGAACCGACCAGATTACACCGGACCATCCTCTCATACACCGGGCAGGATGATCCGGCCACCAGAACCTTCACCGAAAGCTTACCGAACTCCGTGATCAAAGCCTTCAGCGCTGACACCGCCGATCGATCGATGCTACTCAAGGCCGTAAAATCCAGCACCAGAAACCTGAAGCTGAACTGCTTTTTGTAGTCCTTCCGTTTGGATTTTTTGATTTCCTTGGTGAGATTCAGCTTCAACGCTTCGCACAAACTCGCCCTGAATCCGGCCTTGGTGACGAAGTTCATACTGCCGCAAAAACGGAAGATTTTCACCTCGGAAATGTCGATTGTCTAAAATGGAAGAGGGTTCAAAATATTAATAGAACTCTAAAGACTGGCGGTGAATGGATCAGCTTACGCCTTTGTAGTGATTAACATCCAAATACAGATCCGTATTGGGTACGTTCTCCATCAGGCATGTATACGGCTTCATACCGCGGAAGATGATACTGCAAATGCTGAGCACCATTCCGACAAGCAGCCCGATATCAATGGCCACCAAGACCACCGTCAGGAACGTTCCCATCCAAACGATGGCATCCACGGTGCTGAGTCGCCAGAACTGTCGGAAATGCGCGAGCTGCATGAGCAGTCCCTTCAGCGAGACCACAATGATCCCAGCCAGGACGCACCGCGGCAGTGACTCGAAGTACGGTCCCACCCAAAGCAGTACAATGGCCAAAATGGCGCAGGAAACTACCGAGGCGATTTGCGTTTTGCCACCCGACGTGTACTGGATCATCGAACGGGACAGGGACGACGAGAAGGGCATACAGGAGAAAACCGATCCGAACACGTTGCCGGTGCCCATGGCCAGCAGTTCCTGGTTCAAGTCGATTTCGTAGTTTTCCTTCTGGGCAAAAATGCGGGCCATCGAGACGGACACGGCGTACGCGACCATGGCAATCGGGAAGCTTTCGAGCAGGACCGATTGCATCAGCGAGATGTCCGGTAGGACGGGTTCTGCAATGGCGAGGAATGGGTTGGGGTTAGCTTGGTGAATATTGGATTTTGAATTGCGGACAGGAATTCAGATCAGGATTTTCAGTTGTAAATTTGAGTTCAAGCTGAATTTGTATTAACCATTGCTGTCGTGGATTCCAAGCTGTCAGTCCGGTTGTAAGTTCCGTATAGGAGTTCAGGTTTGCAATTCCAGTCCAGAATTCTAGATCATCGAATTTTGGCAAGGAATTCGGCTATAAATTCTGCTAAGGAATTTGACAAAGAAGTCCACTAAGGATTCGGAACAGGAATTCTGGTAAAGAACTCCGATTTACAGTTTCTTTTTTTCGAATTGTAAATTCGATGGTTTTGTGCTGGGTGGGGTAAGTTACGGCACAACATTTTCACAACGGTATAGAACCCTATCACTTCTGTGATATACTACTGTTTTTGCACAAGAAACGTGAAGGTTCTGAAAATACAACATAAACGACAAAATCCTATGCACTTGTGACCAAATGGTTACAAGAGAACTGGTTGGAAGTTCAAATCAGGATTCCCTTTTAAGAATTACAGAAAACGTTTCCGGTATTCCTTTGTGATAAGGAAGTTCCTTGCCGTTAGTTCGATTGGAAATTCCACTCAAATTAGGAACTCCGTTCACAAATAATGTTTAAATTATTCTTAAATTCGAGTCTAGAATATTTTCGGTCGAGAAGAATTCCCATCATGAATCATTCCAGTCATGAATTATCCATTTATCCAGAACAATTTTTAATTTGAAGCATAGTTAGTAGAGTGATGCAAAATTTGAAATTTTCGCTCCACAATACTTAAACGATTCCAAATGGGATCCTGACTAACCTCTCAAAATTTGAACCCACTTGGTGAGAAACTGAGATGGCACAAACCATTTGAAGTTTGTATGGGAATTACTATGGTAAAACCAAGATTTTTGTTCATGTCTATCTAATAATTCACCAAATCGGTCTGCTTCAAAAGCTTTCAACTGTACTCGTAGGAAATTTTCCCAGCTACAACTTGCTCAAGACCATCAATGTATCTATGGTTCAATGCGCTGATGTCTTATGATCATGCTCAATCAACTGCTCAGCATGCAAAATTGGTGTTTCTGGGGCGTTGAATAGGACACAAAAGTCATGGCTACTATGTCACACTGCAAAATACAGTGTTGCCTACAGAGCAGCTGCTTGATCATGGCATAAGTTTACCAATCTCTTAAATAATTAATAACTTTTTCCTGTCTCGTTTCACATAGAAACAATCTTGAGCAAAGTTGTAGCTGAGAAAATTTTCTATAAGAATGGCTATCAAACTGTTTCGCAGCTCATTATGGAAAATGACTAGAAGGCAATGAACAAAAAATTGAGATTTCCCATAGTAATTTACATGTAAACTTCAAATGGCTTGTGCGAAGTCTGTTTCTAACCAAATGAGTTGTAATTTTGGGAGGCTAATCAGGACCCGATTTGAAACCATTTAAGCACTGTGGAGCGAAAAAGTCAAATTTTGCATCAGTCTAATAGTTAGTCAACTAACATTTGGAGTTATATATAAAACAAGATTTAACTTTGACACCAATCGAAAGGAATGAACTTGAAACTTGAATAATTGTGTCCCTGTTTGTAACTAGATACTAGTTGAATATATTTGGGATATCTTTTAAATTTTAAATGGAATTCGTTTTGTTTAAACCCATTCGGTACCACTTTATTATTAACACGTACTGTATACGGGTAAAAATACCGAGTTGGTTGGAAATCCTATCTAACAAGAAGATCATGAAGCTTTTTTGAAGTTAGATCTCTAACAAACTGCAACGAATTTCGCAAACCTGAAGCAAGGATCCCTGAAACTCTTATAAGATTATTGCACTATTTTTAGACCTTATTCAAAAGTCCCTTCACTTTTTACAATTTGTCACTCTTGCATGAAGTTTAACGCAGCTCCTCAAAATGCTGTGAAATTTGCAAAACTTCTTGAATTTCTACGTAGTTTCCACAACTATTCCAAGTCCATGAGGCTTAAAAAAAGTGCCCTGAAATTATATAGAGGTACTGTAAGTTGCGGCTTACCTGCCAGCCTATAGCTGACCCGATTTACCCCGGCGGGGCGGCTGCGAGCAGAGTACTTCCCCCAAAAACGTTCGGATTTTGGGCGTTAACGATAGAAAAAGAGAAAGAAATATGAAATTTAAGACGTCTATTCTACTTCACGTCGGCTCCAGACACGGTCTGTGCCGAGCGTTTTCTCCTTCACTTTTAGCTGCGTAGCAGCGGTCCTTGGCGTTTAGCGGGGGGATGATCATGGCTCCTTTCTCGGAAACCCCCCCCCCCCCCGGCGACGATGGTGACGAATCACCGGACCAACTACTCACCGTAGATGGTCCCGGTAGTCACCGCAGTGCACTGTTGGGAATGTCAATTTCCTATCTCTTATACCACAAACCCCATCGGGCAACCCCTCGACAATGAGCTGTCATTAGACACCGGAAGTAAACAATAGTTTTTTTCATTCTTGACCTGTACCTAGCAAAGAAAACACGTTTCATTAAAATCTTGTTCGTTTAATTAAATACGTTGTCCGTTTTCTCTTAATCCGATTCCGTTACCACTGCCCCAATTCCCAATAGGTTATGGGCCCAGTGGATTCGCGAGTGTCGGGATCGAAGTGTTTTTGAATCGTCGTGCCCGGTCAAGTAGAAATGGAGAGAGAAGGCGAAATCGCGCGTGTGCCGCAATTCGACGGAAGCAACTATCCCTCCTGGAAGTTCCGTATGCAGGTGGTGCTGGAGAAGCAAGAGCTCGCCGAGTGCATACAGGTGGAACTGGAGGAAGTTGACGAATACGTCGTCAAGCAGGAGGACACGAATGCCGTGAAGGAGGTGAAGGAGAGAGCAGCGGAAAAACGACGGAAGAAGGACCGTCGCTGCAAGTCCCTCCTGATTTCGCGGATTCACGATAGCCAACTCGAGTACATTCAGGACAAGCCGACCCCACGAGCGATTTGGCTGGCGCTGCAGCGGATTTTCGAGCGCAAAAGCATCGCGAGTCGCTTGCACCTGAAGAAGAAGTTGTTGTCGTTGCGACACGAAGGTGGTTCTCTTCAAGAACATTTTCTTGTGTTTGACCGTGCTGTACGTGACTACAAGGCAACGGGCGCCGTGCTGGAAGATATTGACATCGTTTGTCATTTGCTGCTGACGCTCGGGTCAGAGTACGCGACGGTAGTGACGGCACTGGAAACAATGCCAGAAGAAAATCTGTCCCTTGATTTTGTGCGGTGCCGATTACTGGACGAAGAAATCAAGCGGAAGAGTGCCAGTGTTGACATGTCGGTTCCCCGAAGTGACGATGCCGCTTTCGCCGGTTCGAGCACCGGAAAGCCTCGCGCAAAGCAACAACAACAAAAGAAGTGGAAGTGTTTCGGCTGCCACAAAGAAGGCCATAAAATTTCCGACTGCCCTCAGAAGAAAAACAGTGCGCATTACGGAAAGGGTGAAGATGGTGTGTGTTTCATGAGTGGATCGTCTGGATCTCCACCCACGCAGCAAGTCAGCTGGATCATCGATTCGGGATCGTCCGCACACTTGACAAACGACCGGAGTTTGTTCGAGAGTTTGTCCCCGATGGCAGAGCCGATGCAGATTGCTGTCGCGAAGGAGGGCGAGTGCATCACCGCGAAGCACAGCGGCGAGGTGAAACTGACATCCATCATCAACAGTAAGTCCATTCCAATTACCCTTAAGAACGTTTTGTACATTCCGGAGGCAAGAGTTAATTTGCTCTCCGTGCGGAAGATGGAAACCGCAGGGTTGAAGATTGTGTTCGCTGACGGGAAAGTGTGCGTCGAGAAAAGTTCGAGAGTAATCGCGGTCGGTTCACGGCGCGGAAAACTGTACGAGATGAACTTTCGCCGAGAAAGTGAGATTGCAGAAAAGTCGTCGTATTTTTGCGGTCGGATTCCGAAACATCTCGAACATCTGAGTACGAAGAACTTATCAGTGCTTGCTCGTAACGATATGGTCGTCGGATTGAACTTTGGAACCGCGAAAAAGACTGACGTCGGAACCGTGTGTGAGTCGTGCATCGCCGGTAAGCAGACTCGAGAACCGTTCTCCGCGCGCGTGGGCAAACAGTCCAAAAGAGTTTTGGAACTGGTTCACTCGGACGTCTGTGGCCCAGTGACGCCGGTGGGCATACACGGAGAGAAATATTTCGTCTCGTTCATAGACGACTGGAGCCGGTTCACTGTTGTGTTTTTGATACGTTCGAAGGACCAACTCGCCGAAAAGTTCCGGGAATACGAGGCGATCGCGAGTGCTAAGTTTGGCAGGGGCATCTCTCGGTTCCGTTGCGATAACGGAGGGGAGTATAAGAGCCGCGCGTTCACTGATTTTTGTAAGGAGAAGGGAATTGTGATTGAGTGGACGGTACCCTACACGGCCGAACAGAACGGCACGAGTGAACGTATGAACAGAACGTTGGTCGAGAAAACGCGTTCGATGCTCGAGGACAGTGGTGTTGACAAAAGGCTGTGGGGTACGGCAATCCAAACCGCGGCGTTTCTGGCTAACCGTAGCCCTGCCAATGCTATTGACTCGAAAAAGACTCCGTTTGAGATTTGGAATGGGGAAAAGCCAAATGTGAAGAGACTTCGTGTGTTCGGTGCGGATGTGTACGTTCACATTCCGAAAGAGTTCCGGAAGAAACTCGACGCGAAATCGTGGCGCGGTACGTTCGTCGGGTATACTGCCAACGGTTACCGGATTTGGGATTCTGTGCTGAAGGAAATCGTTTCGGCTCGTGACGTGATATTCGTAGAAGAAAGAAATCATGGCGTTCAGCAAGTGAATGAAGATCCTGGAAGCGATCAGTTTGGGATTCTACCCGGGCAAACCGAAGATGCAGACGACAAAAGTGTACGAAGTGACCAGGAGGAAGATCCTGATTCCGAGGACGAGGACGATGCTAATTCCGAGGATGACGAAGAGGTATTCGGTAGCGCAGGCGAGGAGTCCGATCCGGAAGTCGAGCAGTCCGATCCGGAAGCTGTGAACGAAAATTTGGCCGATGAGGAGCGAAGACCGCGGAGGAAGCGAAATGCTCCAGGGTGGCATGAAGACTACCAGTTCAACTACACTGGTTTCGCTTTGAATGCCGCCAGTTTCGTCGATAATCTACCTTGTTCGTTGGCTGAGATGAAGATGCGAGAGGATTGGCCGCAGTGGGAGCAAGCTGTTCGTGAATAAATGGAATCCCTTATCAAGAATAACACCTGGACATTGATGAAGCTGCCGAAGGGGAGAAAGCCGATTTCCTGTAAGTGGGTGTTTAAGGTTAAGAGATCTGACAATGGTCAGCCGGACCGTTGTAAGGCTCGACTAGTGGCGCGTGGCTTTTCGCAAAGGCACGGATTCGACTATTCGGAGACGTATTCTCCGGTAGCCAAACTAGATACGATCCGAGCGTTTTTGGCGGTAGCGAACCAGGAGAGATGGCACGTCCACCAAATGGATGTGCGGACCGCGTTCTTAAACGGAAAGATCACCGAGGAAATCTATATGACCCCACCAGAGGGATACAAGCAGAGGGATGGCTTGGTATGTCGCCTCAACCGTGCCCTGTATGGGTTAAAGCAGTCATCGAGAGCTTGGAATCAGCGGTTCGATCGGTTCATGCAGGAGTTGGGATTCCGGAGGAATGCTAACGATCCGTGCTTGTATGTGAAGGGAACAGGTAGTTCGATGATAGTTCTCATTCTGTACGTCGACGACATCCTTATCGCATCTCGGAGCCTGAAGCTAGTAGAGGAAGTGAAACGTCGTTTCGTCGACGAGTTCGAAACTTCGGATGTTGGCGCAGTGAAGAGTTTCCTCGGGATGAAGGTGGAGCGAGACGTCGAGAATCGGATCCTAAGAATCAGCCAGCGTGGGTTCCTGGAAAGTCTTCTTTGCCGGTTCAACATGCAGGATTGCAAGCCTATCTCGACACCGATGGAGTGTCGCCTTCGCCTGGAACGAGGAAAAGAAGCGGAACGGACGGACAAGCCCTACCGCGAGTTGGTCGGATGCTTGATGTACGTGGCATTTACATCGCGACCCGATCTGTGCACGGCTGTCAACTACTTCAGCCAGTTCCAGAGTTGTCCAACCGAACAGCATTGGGTACACCTGAAGAGACTTTTGCGGTATATTCGTAGAACTCTTGATCTCGGACTGGTCTATAGAGGAGACGACGGCGCATCGATACTGGAAGCCTACGCAGACGCAGACTGGGCGAACGACGTGATGGACAGGAAGTCATTATCCGGGTATGTTTTCCGTATTCATGGCAGTACCACAGACAAACAGACATAACACATTGAATATTTGCCACTGTAAAACATCGTCGCTAAAACATTACCGCCATCTGTTGAGTACAGTGTGGTGGGTAGTACGCTGAACAGATGGCGGTAGTGTGTAAACGTCAAACACAAGGGAATTGAATATGCGCGCCACAGTTGGCGGTACTACCAACTACGATACTATTAAATTGACCGTTAAATGCTTGTTCGATGAACAACTTGCGACTGTTATGTCTGTTTGTCTGTGGCAGTACCGTTTGTTGGCTGACGCGGAAACAGTCGACGATCTCTCTGTCTTCTACCGAGGCGGAGTTAGTTTCCTTGACTACAGCGGTATGTCAGGGGACATGGCTGGTGCGGTTGCTGGAAGATCTGGGAATCAAGATGAGCGACCCCGTTACGTACTTTGAGGACAATCAATCGACGATCCGTGTTGCTGAGGATGAGCGTGGAGTGGGCCGATTGAATCACATTGATGTGAAGCACATGTTCGTCCGGAACGAGATCCACCAAGGGCGTATCATGCTGCAGTACGTGCCGACGACGGACCAGTTGGCGGATGTGATGACCAAGGGTCTGCCAGCTGGGATTTTCCAGAAACATCGAGCAAATCTAGGGTTGATGGGCTCTGTAAATTGAGCGGGGGTGTTGGGAATGTCAATTTTCTATCCCTTATACCACAAACCCTTATCGGACAACCCCTCGACAATGAGCTGTCATTAGACACCGGAAGTAAACAATAGTTTTTTCATTCTTGACCTGTACCTAGCAAAAAAAACACGTTTCATTAAAATCTTGTTCGTTTAATTAAATACGTTGTCCGTTTTCTCTTAATCCGATTCCGTTACCACTGCCCGAATTCCCAATATGCACTACCCAGGCGAACGCTCCTTCGGTTCGGCCTGCTTTGTCCTTCCTTGGCTCTTAACTGCGGGGGCGAGACTGGCTCTACTGGCTGAGCCACCGCAGTGAGAACGGTGGGTGTTCGGGGATCCTTGGTGGTTAGCCGGGAAGCGAAAGAGACCTTTACGCTTAGCTTTCCTTTGACGGCTTTCCGACACCTTTCACTTATGCAGCTCACGAACCACGGCACGTTTCGAGGAAACGACGTCACTTCCACGCGACGATGCTGGGAATTATCCCTCCAGCGGACACACGCCACGAAAACGGCACTCCAACTCTCGTTTCTACTTAAACGGACGGGGAAAAAACACGTCGAATTCCAACCGTGGCTCGTAACTTTCTCCCTGTTTTTCCTACTTGCTGACAATCACGGACAATACAATAACCGCCATCGTTCTTCTGCAACCGCGCTCGAATGTTATGCTGCTAATGTTTTTCGCCGTCTTTTGTAGCGGAAGGAGAAACAGGATCTGACAAACACGTTAAAAGGATGGGTTATTAATTGTCACACTAGATGAGGGTTACGGTATCCGATCAATACTGAGCTTCCCTGAAGTAAAATAATGTTCCCTTAACATCTATGAAGCTCCTCAAACATGAATAAATGTTTTCACTTCTACGCAATTTTTGAGAACTTTTCCAATTTCCTTGTTTCTACGAATTTATCTAAAGATCTATGAAGTTCTCAGTATTTCTAATAAGTATCCTCAATTTCTACGATGTTTCTTAGAATTTCCTGAAGGTTTAGAAGGTAAAGTTCCCAGAAGGTAAAGAAAAGTCCCTGGGCTCATTGCTAATTTATATTGCCTCAAGACGTCTTATTATGCCATCGATTAAATATTGAAATAATATACTTTCTCAAAATTGTTTCTTCTAGCCCAGAACATAAGAAAAGTAGTCAACATAAAGAACTTTAAAAAAAAATGTTGTTTGTGGTCCAATTTTATTAATCGCTGTTAAATAGTAACATCGAATTTGAAAAAATACCGGTGAGTCAAAAAACACCGAAAATTCTGAAGGGGGTCTGGCCCACTTGGCAACCCCATTAACTACGCCAATGCCAGTTCGGAATTTCAATTCAATAATTCTTTTCAGCATTTTCCGTTAGAAATTGTAACAATATAAATAATCCATCTATTAGGTCGAAAACTCTGGTGAGGAATTCCAGTTAAGATAATCAGTCTAGAATCTTGAATAATTGTATTTCATCTAGAAGGTAAATAAATAAAAGTTACCGGAACTCCTGAAGAAATAACGGAAATTAGTTCAACTCTGACGAGAAATCCTTGTCGTAATCATTTCTTGCGCAACACGAGAAAAGGGCCTATCATTGTTGATCGATTCTTTTCATCGATTTTTCGCAATAACCCGACTGTAAATGGACTTTCCCATTGAGTGTGTTGTTTCAGGCGCAAGCTAACATCATCTTCTGTCGAACTGTACTGCGAGCTCAGCGAGAAATTCGTTAATGTTACCGTGGTAAACCAAAGAGAAAGTCGCTGAAGAGAATCGATCAACGAGGATAGGTCCTTTTCAAATGTTACGCGAGATTTCTCGAAACTCACCCGGAAATCCCGCTGTAATGTTACCGATCGTCTTGATCGAATACTGCACGCGAAGATCCATATGATTCGAAATCAAGGTCCCACCGATGACCGCAATCAGCTCGATCGGAACGGGAATGCTGCTTCGCTTGGCGACAATAGACTACCAGAAAACATACAAAAGGAAACAAACATTCGCGGTTAGATCAAGTAGACCCTGTGCTGCAAAACAGCAACGCTTGCACGCGGTCATGACATGCTTGTTACGTGTCTTACCTGCAAGTATTCGTTGTTTATCACCACTACCACAACGGTAATGGCCGATACCACGATGGTCGCCCAGTTGACGCTGGAAATGTCCTTAAATATGGCAATGTAAGTCTAAAGGAATCGACAGAAGAATGATTACAGCATCAGTCATAAATGCGGATTTGTGATGCAGCAGCTCAGCCATACTTACGTTTATCACTTCAAAAGCTCCACCCTGAGGAGGCAACGAAAGCCCGAGGAGATGTTTGATCTGCGATGTGAGCACGTGAATGGCGGCACCCGTGGTGAATCCGGAGGCTAAACTTTCCGACAGCAGGAACGAAATGGCTCCCAGCCGACCTACATACAAGATCAGCTGTTGGATGGAAAAAGGAAATGCATATAATACAAAGTAATAAATTCTAACAGACGATGACAATTGAATTATCAGGCTTGAGTTTATGGTGTCAATTAGGTTTATACTATGTTCAGAGTTCAGATGATATCACGTTATGTAGGCTATCATGATATAAAATGTCATAGGGGAAATGGTTGTCGGCCTAAATGCCCCTAATTTAGGCCCATACATAATGTATTGCTCATGCCATGAGTTTTTAGACTACTGTGAGGATCGTAGTTGACAGGTATTTTTTTCCTCAGTCATCGTCTCAGTGAATGATCTGTCGAATTGCAATAAAACACAACAATATCCCATCATTACGCAGGTAATTATTAAAACATTTACACTTGAGAATTATCATAAAATTAATGTATGATAAGCGGACATGACTGGTTGAATTGTATCACTGCAAACAGACTCTTTATCTGGACGAAGCAAAGCGGTTGTTTGAAGACACGTTCCGGATCGCCATGTCTGCATCACCAATTTGTCGAATAGGGTTAACTACCCCATTTCCGGCCTATTAAGCACAACCCGCACTTGGTCTTTCTTAATCTAGCGTAGTTTAGCACCAAACGGAATGTTATTATTACTGATGGCTTCCAAATTTATTTACCTTTCCGTACGTACCGTAAGATTTGATAAAGATAAACCAATCGTTGTATATTGTCAAAAGTCTAACACTGCTTCTTGACGCCAAACTCGGCCTAATTAATTTGAATTCACTTCGGCTTATCGGATGAAGATGCAAATAGACATATAGATTCGGTCGGAGCGCTTCTTTTGTTTTGTGGGAATAATGGGTGCAAACCTTCATACCATACGTTCTCATTGACTTCGTTCGGTAGCTTATTAACTAAAGTATCGTACCAAACGCATAATTGACTTGCTAACTCTGAAATCATGGATTTATTTGAAGTTTTCTGCTTGATAGGCCCAAAATGGGCGATTAGGCTGAAGTAGTTCTCTACCCTACTTCTTTAGGAAGGGCTTAGCTGGAAAGCACTCGAGAGACGAGCTATTCCAATACGTAGCAAAATCGTCGTCCGGTTTGCCTCAGAAATGAGTGACATCAAATGGGATTATCAAAATTTAATCTTCCTGGATGAAGTTAGTTTTGATAATAGGTCAATGCTTAGATCTAGAGGATACGGAGTAAGAGGTGAACGTTTGATTTGTTGGGGCGAGTTTGTCAGAAAACCCAGAATGTCACTGTTATGCTTTATTGAACAAGAAGGGTTAACTGAACCATTCTCGCCAGAAGGGACTTTTAACAGAGCAAAAATTTTCGAATGCTGTACTAAATTTGCTTTGGAATCTGGAACGGTTCAGTGCTACCCTGGGTTCCATTCTGTTTGGATTCATGATGGTGCTAGAAGACATTGCGACGCTGCGATAATTTCCTATCTCCGGTCATTGGGCATTTATGCCATATTCCTGCCATCCTACTGCCCTTTTTTCAAGCCGATAGAATTTGTATTTGGGATAGGGTTTTGGACTAATTTCCATTCTACTAAGCACAACCTGCGCTTTACCTCCCTTTTTTGAACGGGTTCGAACAAAAAATGGAATAGTCCTGTCAAAGATGACTTCCAAATTTATTTACCTTTCCAAACGTACCGTTAAATTTGATAAAGAGTCACAAATTGTTGAGATATTGTTTAAAATCTAAAACTGCTTCTTGGTTCTAAATTCGTCTAACGAGTTTCAATTCCGTCCTAACGCATTGAAAGGCCATTAGATTTTCTTCGTCCTACGGATAAACGTAGAAAAAGAGGATTCGCTAGGAGCGCTTCTTTTGTTTTGAGAACAATGAGCGTAAATATTCATACAATGCGCTCTAATAGGATTTATGTTGTAGCTAATGAACTAACGCATCGGAAATAACCTACTATTGATTTGTGCACGGTGAAATCATTGATATTATTGATCTTTTCTGATCGATAGAACGGAAATGGGCGATCACGACGAAGTAGCGCTCTACCCTAATCAAACGAAAACTGAAGAGGAAGTATCAAGAGAATCACAATAAAAATATTGATCTAGCAGTCGCGGAAGTATTAACAGACTTCTCGAAGTATTATATGAATAATGTATTCAAAAAGTGTAGTATTTCAGAGGAGGGAGGTTTGACCCAGATGTTAAATAAGAGACGCGCGAAGACTGAAGCCAAAAGTTCCAATCGAACCGTCATGAATAATCATACAAAGTATCATCAAATTTCTGATCAAAGCACAAAACTGACATATGCCGCCGTGTTCGCGAAAAATGTGTATCTTAGTCACGAACACACATACTAAATGTATGAGTTGGTTCGTGTCCAATCTATTCCGGGTATATTATTTTATCTAGATAACAAATTTCTATAGTTTTGACAGATGGGATTGCTGCACATTCAAATCCGCCGTTATGGATTCTCGATCAAGAGTTAAGTTTAGTTTCATGTCGATTTGTCGGTGATATACCTTCCAACGTGGTATATTTGGTTTCACTCAGAGTTGCCAAAAATTGAGTCTTCAAATACTTCCATTGAATAGCGATACTGCCGATACGGTTATAAAAGTATTCATTTTACCGGGATGCTGAAGCAGACGACAGTCGCTCAAATTAAAAGTCACTTGAAGTAAACACAAAATTGCGGGTTGCCAAACCTTGCAGGAAAAGAAATTAGTTGTCCGTGAAACCAGATTTACTTTTATTCATTAATTGACATGATTTCTGATATGCTTAAATCTAACTCCATGTTTGATGCTATTCAAACTGGAGTAAAATTTGCTAATAATATTGTCATGACTTTAAAATTCAGTAATGGATTTTAAAGCTTTAAATATTGTAAATTGGAATGCTCGATCTCTTAAAGATAATGAAGACGAGCTATTTAACTTTTTGAGAGTTCATAACGTGCATATTGCCGTTATAACTGAAACGTTCCTTAAACCTGACCATAAGGTTAAGAAAGACGCAAATTATTTGATTTATAGAAATGATCGTCTTGATGGACCCTGTGGTGGCGTTGCCATCATTGTTCATAGACGAATCAAACATAAAATTCTTTCTTCAATTGAAACCAAAGTTTTTGGACAACTTACGTTTATAGCTGCCTATTTGCCATTCCAATGCGTAGGCCAGCAAAAGAATTTTCTCAAGGGTGACCTCCAGAAACTTACCCGTCATAGGTCTAAATTCTTCATTATTGGTGATTTTAATGCAAAACACCGCTCATGGAATAATGCTCAAAGCAATTCCAATGGTAATATTCTGTTTGATGATTGTTCTGCCGGTTATTGCACTATTCAATATCCAAACAGCCCAACATGCTTTTCTTCTGCAAGAAATCCTTCAACTATTGATTTGGTCTTAACTGATTCATGTCAACTTTGTAGCCAATTGGTTACCCATGCTGACTTCGGTTCTGATCACCTTCCAGTAACTTTTGAAATATCCCAAGAAATAATTTGTAATCCCAACAGTTCTACTTTCAATTACCATAGGGCTGATTGGGAGCAATATCGAACATTTATGGAATATAACTTCGATCCAAACATTCCTTTGCAAACCAAAGATGAAATTAATTATGCTTTTGAATCTCTGACTACTTCTATAGTTGAAGGAAGAGCTGCCTCAGTACCAAAATGCGAGGTTAAATTCGATTCAATTATAATAGACGACGATCTTCAGCTCTTGATCCGTCTTAAAAATGTCCGTAGGAGACAATATCAAAGAACACGCGATCCTGCCATGAAGGTTATCTGGCGGGATTTGCAAAAACAAATTAAAAAGCGATTCTCTGCCCTGAGGAACAAAACTTTTGAAAATAATATTTCTTAATTAGACCCGAGTTCCAAACCCTTTTGGAAACTCACAAAATTTTTGAAAAAACCTCAAAAGCCAATTCCAGCGCTTAAAGAAGGTGGTAAAATTTTGATCACAAATTTGGAAAAAGCTCAGAAACTTGCTAAGCAATTCGAGAGTTCCCATAATTTCAGTTTGGGTCTTACTAGTCCTATTGAGAATCAGGTTGCTCGGGATTTTCTGAATATTTTCTCTCGGGAAAATATTTTTGATGATTCCTGGGGGACTGATTTGGACGAAGTAAGGTCTATAACTAAAAAGTTTCAAAATATGAAAGCTCCAGGTGATGATGGAATTTTCTATATCCTCATCAAAAAACTCCCAGAGAGTACCTTGTCTTTCTTGGTAAAATTATTTAACAGATGTTTCCATTTGGCATACTTTCCTGATAAATGGAAAAATGCAAAAGTTGTTCCAATTTTGAAGCCGGATAAAAATCCAGCTGAAGCTTCTAGCTACCGTCCAATAAGTTTGCTTTCTTCAATAAGTAAACTTTTTGAAAAGATAATTTTGAATAGAATGATGCTTCACATCAATACGAACTCAATTTTTGCAGATGAGCAGTTTGGATTTCGCCATGGGCATTCAACTACTCATCAACTCTTAAGAGTTAACAATTTAATTCGTTCAAACAAATCTGAAGGCCACTCAACTGGAGTTGCTCTTCTAGACATAGAAAAAGGATTCGACAGTGTTTGGCATGAAGGTTTGATTGCTAAATTGAAAAAGTTTAATTTTCCACTTTACATTATGAAATTAGTTCAAAATTATTTAACTGACAGAACTCTGCAGGTAAATTATCAAAATTCCAAATCTAATCGACTACCTGTTAGAGCAGGAGTTCCTCAGGGTAGCATTCTTGGGCCTATATTGTATAACATTTTCACTTTGGACCTCCCTGATTTGCCTCAGGGTTGCCACAAATCTTTGTTCGCTGATGACACAGGCATTTCCGCTAAAGGAAGAAGTCTTCGTGTTATTTGCAGCAGACTGCAGAAAAGTTTAGATATTTTCTCTTCTTATTTACAAAAATGGAAGATTTCGCCCAACGCTTCCAAAACTCAACTTATAATATTTCCACATAAGCCTAGAGCTTCGTTTTTGAAACCTAGTAGTAGTCACATAGTCACTATGAACGGAGTTCCAATTTCCTGGTCAAACCAAGTGAAATATCTTGGATTAATACTTGACCAAAAATTAACTTTTAAAGATCACATTGAGGGCATTCAAGCTAAATGTAACAAATATTTTAAATGTTTGTATCCTTTTATAAATAGGAAATCCAAACTTTGTCTGACGAATAAACTTCTAATATATAAACAAGTTTTTAGACCGGCCATGCTTTACGCTGTGCCAATATGGTCTTGTTGTTGCACTACCAGGAAAAAAAGCACTTCAAAGGATTCAGAACAAAGTTCTGAAAATGATTTTGAAGTTGCCTCCCTGGTACAGTACTAAAGATCACGCTGAACCGGACACTGCCAGTTCCACGGTTGGAGATGCTGACATTGGACTTCTGGAATTCCACGGTGCTGCCGGAAAAGTCAAGGCTGCTGATTCTCTGAGAGTGGAAATAGTCCAGTTGGGTTCCACCTATTTCCAGAACGACGAGGGGCCGTTTGCACCAACAAACAACCGGTCGATGAACAAATCCTGGTTCAAAAGGACACTGGCGAACGGGGAGAAGGTGACTCGGTCCTGGCTAGTTTATTCTCCAGCAAAGCAATCAGCTTTCTGCATCTGCTGTTTGCTCTTTTCTCGATCAAACCCTCAGTCGAGTTTGGAGCAGGAATGCGGATTCAATCATTGGAAAGCACCTGAGCGCATGACTGTTCATGAAATGTCGAAGAATCATCGTGAATGCTTCACTCAATGGAAACAAATGGAACGGACTTTGGCCGAGAACAAAGGATTGATCGATGTGGAGCTGCAGTCAGAGATTGATGTGGAGAAACAAAAATGGCGAGACATCCTGGAACGACTTATTCACTGCATCAAGTTTCTTGCGACGCAAAACTTGGCTCTGCGAGGACACCGAGAATCCCTCCAGTTGGACGACGCCTCTAACGTCGGGAATTTTCTTGGACTCCTGAAACTTCTCGCCGCCTTCGACCCTGTCATGCAAGCGCACCTCAAAAATGCCAAAAATCGTCCCGGATCGACTTCTTACCTCTCGGCAGCCACACAGAACGAGTTTATCCATTTGATGGCGTCTACTGTTCGCGAAAATATGCTCGAAACGATCCGTCAAGCGAAATATTTTGGTATCATGTTTGATTCGACCCCTGATCAAGCACACCGTGAGCAAGTTTCAGAAGTAGTTAGATATGTGCACGGGAAAAAAGAGTTCCCATATTCGTGAACCACAGCCGTGAACCAGAGCTCACGGTGTATATTTGAGAAAATTTTGTTCTGGATAGTTGGCCGTGATTTTTAGTTCACGGTCCGTTCCCGTTTTCGGGAACGGATTTTTTTCCGAGTGGACGTGGATTTTACAAAGAAAACGGTACGTGTTGCAGAATCTTTTCTAGGATTCATCCAGATCAACCTGAAAGACGCTGAGAGCTTAGTTGGGACCATTTTGAGCCAGTTGGAGAAAGACGGTATGGACCTCCAGGATTGCCGGTCGCAGTGCTACGACAACGCTGCTGTGATGGCGGGACACAAAAGTGGTGTTCAACAAAGGATCATCGAGAAGAATCACCTGGCAGTTTTCGTGAACTGCGACAATCACTCACTCAACTTGGTTGGTGTCAACGCAGCCAAACAGGACGTTATGATGGTGACTTTTTTTGGGACCATTCAAGCTCTCTACGTATTCTTTTCCTCCTCGACTCAGCGCTGGGAAAAACTCAAGATTGCTGTTCCTAAAGTTGTGAAATCGGAGTCAACAACCAGATGGAGCGCAAGGGTGGAAGCGGTGAAGCCCATCAACAACCACCTCGACGAGATACTCCAAGTCCTTCAAGCCATGATGGATGGTGCCACGGAGACCACAGACACACGGAGCGAAGCGAGGCAGCTCTACAACCGGATGTTGACTCCTGAATTTTTGACCCTACTTGGATTTTGGACCAACGTGCTTCTCCCGATCGACCGAGTCCAGAAAAGGTTGCAAGATCCAGCGATGAACTTCCACGATGCCGCGATAGACCTGGAAAGCCTACGAGATCATTTCTACAACGAGAGGGAAAGACTAGTGAGTAAAGCTCTGGAGGTTGGGCTTAATCTCTGTCAAGAGTGGGAGGTTGAGACGGAAAGACGACCAAGACGAAAGAAGACAATGGCTGGCGAAACATCTAAAGATGCTGGATTGAAAACAACGCAGGAAATCGAACGAGCTATGAAGGAGACGATCGACCGCCTGCACACCGAGATGGACGACAGATTCACTCGTTTGCACGACACTGATGCGAAGTTTGGCTTTCTTCTCGACGTCGAGGGATTATGTACCGGTATCAGCAGGGACATCTTGAAGACAAAGTGCGAGAACTTCGGCCAGACTTACAACCGTGATGTTGATGGTGAGCAGCTGTACGAGGAGATTTTGGACTTCAGAATGATGATCAGTACGAGGACGAACGTCAAACTAACACGACCTGATGTTCTGCTGTTCATCGTGCAATACGGAGATGAGAGCGTGTTCCCGAATCTTCGAATCGCCATTCAGATCTTCTTAACGATTGCTGTTTCGATTGCGAGCTGCGAAAGATCTTTCAGCAAATTAAAATTGATTTTAAACTATCTTCGAGCCTCCATGGGACAGGATCGGTTGAGCGACCTTGCTTTGCTGAGTGTTGAACGGGAAGAGGTCGAGAAGATTGATTTTAACTCCATTATCGATGCTTTTGCCGCAGCGAAGGCGAGGAAGATACACGTTTAGAACGGACGCAGACGTCAGTTTCTTCTAATGTACATGATTGTTAATATACATGATTGAAAATATACAATGTGATTTATTTTGTGGTTATACTTATTTTTATAGGTTAAAGATAATCGGTTGATACTTCAATGATTCAGTACATTTTCATGGGGGGGGGGGCGCGATCTCAGTACTTGCCATGGGCGCCATTTCGCCTAGTTACGCCACTGAGATAAACTGAGGGGTTAGTGGACTTTCATATGTTTCGAGGGGTGAATCGAATAGCTTGAGACCAAAGAGAGTACCAGAGCTGAGCCAAAAGGTTGAGCACGTTGCTTCGAGACCTTCTAGTCTTAGAGTTACCTCTATGGTATAATTAAGATAGATTCGCTCGAATCTAAACTGGGGCTCAATTCGAGCATTTTTTCGATGCTTTCAATAACAAGGTTGTTACTTGAGACTACATTTGATCAATATTCTTAATTAGAGTTCCCATCAACGGTTCTGCAGCGATATTGAATAACTTTGCAATTTGATTAGGTGGCTTTTTCTTGCCAAGAGGAAGCAAAAAGATCCATACTCAGTTAAATGAGGTCTTTCGGGTGAGCACCATGTCCCAGAAATTGACCGTAGAAAGTTGATCCTTTGTTGACACTTTTGTTTCAAATGTGGGTTCCCCAAATGCATTTTGAATCAAACGGAAAAAAAGAAAGTTAAAAGATCTGCACAGGTTAGTTTAGATAAATTCAAGGCAGGTTCAGAAAAATGTCGAGAAACTTCCATTTTGGAGTCCATAGAACTCCAGAAAAGCTTAGAAAACTTCAAACATATTTTGGAAGTTCCATTTTTTTCAGGGCAATACCTTTAGTACTTCAGGAGAATTGCAAAAACTTCAGGCTAACTTTGAGAACATCCTAGTTCCGGGACGCTCTGGGAAGACCACAGTAAAGTTCCGAGATCTTCAGAGTACACACTTAGAAATACCTAATTTTACACGTGACGGAATCCATCTTTGACATAAAGGATGCGACGTAAACAAACAAGTCATGTAAAATTAAGTGCTCCGAGACTGAAAAGTACGGTACTCGACGAAAAGTACGCCGGACATATGAAAAATCAGTTACAATGACAGCACTGGTTGTCCGTTCCGCCTGATCCTGATCATATAGATGGTTACAGTCTTCGTCAAATTTGTTCAACAGATCAAAGCCTTTTGTTTGATGGCCATAAGTTCAGGATACCCTCACTACGCGACCCTAATGTGCAGGTAAATTTTCTGAATATGATATATCTTGAGATCCCAGTCATATCCCAGTATTCCCTGTCTTCGGCAAAGTTCTTCGGCTGGTGGACAGAAGTTCAAAATTTTCTCACTACGCAGCGCTAGTGTGCAAGTGAATTTCCTGAATATGTTATATGTTGGGGAAAAAAAAGGTCCCGTTGCTGCACCTTTACTTACCTGCATAATCCCAACAATAAAGGAAACGGTTGTCGTAACCTGCATCGGACTCACATCTACACTTGATTTCTTCATCACAATTTTGCCCACCACCATCGCCACTACGGCAAACGTCCCCATCGAGTTATGCCTCGAAGTTCCCAGCACAAAGTACACCAACACTGGAAAGAATGATGTATAGATTCCCACAATCGGAGGCACATTGGCCAGAAAGGCGTACCCCATGCCCTGGGGAATTTGCATCATTGCCACCGCACAGCCACTGATCAGATCCGACACGATGTCCCGTTTCCACGAGTACTGCGATAGCCACACGAAAATCGGAAACACACTCTTGGCACATCGCTTTGCACTCCACCCTTTGACGCTGTTCAACGCATCCCGAACCAGCTGCCGCTCGGGAACGCTGTATTGCATCTCTTCGTTCAGCTCCTCCTGTTGGTAAAGAGGTCTGACAACGGCCAACGCTGACAACCCTGGCGCGGCGGTCTTCTCCGGCTTAATGCCTTCGTCCACCATATCCTGGTAGAATCCACGACGATTAGCAACTCCATTAACATCCGCACCATTCATGACTTTGGTGTACTTTGTTCTTCCGTTTCGAGATCTTCTAGTCCCAAAAAGTTTGCCCTGGTTCCTGGCCGACTCACGCGCAACTGAGTAGAATCACTTTCGCTGGTAGTCGATAAATACGTGGTTTGTTTGGGGTTCTTGGGGGCAATTAAGATAAGCGCTACAGACCAAAGACTGCCGTCGACTGGAGATGATGGGTATTTCTACGCTAGCAGGAGGCTGTAAGGAATAGATGCAGATATAATTATGTATATGTCTTGTACTATTATTTGCGCTGCAAATAACGAATCCGCAAAGAACGATACATGATAATTGGGGCTGGGTGGATTATCTAATTTGGTTCAATAAAGAGCATTTCTAGGTCAAATACAACAAGAAAAAAATCAGGCTCGATTTTCTTCGATTTGTTACAAAATTTGAGTAATTATTTGTTTTAGATATGAGTTAAAATTTAATATATATGTAATTAATTGGACCTTCTTTTTTATGATTAGGGTGGTCCTCATGTTAACTTAAATCAGAACTATAACTTTATGTTTTAAGTTATGAGTGATTACATTTTCTAGCAAAGTTGTAGAACAATTATTTCAATCAACTTTGGTGAAGACGACAATTCTCTAGCTCTTCATTTGACCAAGCTAGAACTATTTTTCGGCATTAAACTAGGGTGCCCCTAAAATAATATTTTTGTTTTGTTCTAACTTTCTATTTTCAAAAGTTTCGAAAAGTGGTCCTATAAAGAGTTCTAGGGAAGATGCACATTTTTGCTCAAAAAGTATTTGGGTTACCCATTCAAACGTTATGGGTAGTTTTAATCCGAAAAAAACTAGCAGTCTACATATGGTAATATCTCAGCTAGTTGGATAGATATTTTATTCTTGATGTAGCTTCTGAAAGATCACACATAACGCAGCATTTGATAGTAGAACCATAGAGGTAGCTCTAAGACCAGAAGGTTGGTAGAACTGCGAGAACAACTTTTTTTTTAATGGAATAAATATGCTTTAAAAATACAGTCTTTAAATGATTAGAACTAACGGTTACATTTTGTCCGACATTTTGATAGTTAGGGAAAAACTAATGTTGTTCTTCGTCAATAATGCGCACTACTTCCGACACAATTTATAACGCATAGAACGAGAGTAAATCTATTTTCGCTTGTGTAGTTTACCTGTTTCACAAAGAGTAGAAAGATAGAAAGGTAGATAGATGTAGATCAAACTAAAAACTAAGGAATTTCGAAGCAAACAAAACCTATCGCACAAAGATCATTTCCAACGATAATATTTAATCCACTATCAAAATACTGAGAACTTCGCCCTCGATCGACTGGAAAGGTGACCCCTTTCCAATCAACATTTGAGCAATGGTGTTACAAACTATAAAGAGGCACATTTCGAGGCGTAACATTAAAACCTGTTACCCGCGTTAATCCGAAAGACTATCAACTAACAAATTCACCAATCACCGCATCTCACGCTTCCTCCGATTCCACGATACTCAGATTCACGGAATCGTTCGCTGAGGTCTCCCTTGCCCAGAGTACCGCGTCGTGCACGGTAGGGAATATCTTACAGTACTCATGGTCTTCCGAACCGATCAGCTTACACCGGACCATCCTCTCGTACACCGGGCAGGACGATCCAGCCACCAGAACCTTCACCGAAAGCTTACCGAACTCCGTGATTAAAACCTTAAGCGCGGACACCGCCGATGGATCGATGTTACTCAAGGCCGTGAAATCCAGCACCAGAAACCTGAAGCTGAACTGCTTTTTGTAGTCCTTCCGTTTGGATTTTTTGATCTCCTTGGTGAGATTCAGCTTCAACGCTTCGCACAAACTCGCTTTGAAGCCAGCCCTGGTGGCGAAGTTCATACTGCCGCAAAAGTGGAAGATTTTCACCTCAGAAATGTCGATTGTCTAGAAGGAAATTCAAAATATTACTAGAACTCTGAAGCCCATGGCGTTCAGTGCATCAACTTACGCCTTTGTAGCGATTTACATCCAGATACAGATCCGTATTGGGGACGTTCTCCATCAGGCATGTGTACGGCTTCATACCGCGGAAGAAGATGCTGCAAATGCTGAGCACCATCCCGACAAGCAGCCCGATATCGATGGCCACCAGGACCACCGTCAGGAAAGTTCCCATCCAAACGATGGCATCCACGGTGCTGAGTCGCCAGAATTGTCGGAAATGCGTGAGCTGCATGAGCAGTCCCTTCAGCGAGACCACAATGATCCCAGCCAGGACGCACCGCGGCAGGGGCTCGAAGAACGGTCCCACCCAAAGCAGTACAATGGCCAAAATGGCGCAGGAAACTACGGAGGCGATTTGCGTTTTGCCACCCGCCGTGTACTGGATCATCGAACGGGAAAGAGACGCCGAAAAGGGCAGACAGGAGAAGAACGATCCGAACACGTTGCTGGTGCCCATGGCCAGCAGCTCCTGATTGAAGTCAATTTCGTAGTTTTCCTTCTGGGCAAAGATGAGGGCCATCGAGACGGACACGGCGTACGCGACCATGGCAACTGGGAAGCTTTCGAGCAGGAGCGTTTGCATCAGCGAGGTGTCCGGTAGGGCGGGTTCTGGAATGGCGAGGAACGAGATGATGGTAGTTAGATTAATAATGGGTTTGGTTAGGAATTCCGGACGGGAATTCAAATCAGGATTTAATTTTTGTATATTGTCGTTCTAGCTTAATTCCTATTAACAATTGCTGTCATGGATTTCGACGAGGTCAGAGCCGTCAGTCCGGTTGTAAATTTTGTGTAGGAACTCAGGTTTGGAATTCTGGTCATGAACTCTAGATCTAGGAGTTTGGGTCAGAAATTCGACTTGAACTTCCGGCAAGGAAAGTGGCAAAAAAAATCATGTAAAGGTTTTCTGAACTGGCGAGGAATTCCGGCCAAGATATACAGTTTAAAATTCCATTCAGAAACCTAGGTTTATGAATTGAAGAAATGTTGCTTCGACTCACTTCGCTATAAAAAATTTTTTCCGAAATTATGGATAATACTTTGTACTTATAAGTTTCAAGAAGAGGTTTTCGAAAATGAGTCGAATCAATTCTGAATTTAGGTAAGGAATTTCAAACGCTAATTACTATCAGGAATTACTGACAGACCAGTTGGAAATTTTGGATAGGAACTCAGATTGGAGATTCCGGTCAATAGTTTTAGCCAAGAATATTAGATCCAGTCAGAAATTTTGGAAATATCAAAAAAGAATTAAGGCAAGGATTTTCGGCTAGCTTTTACGGTTAGGATTCCCGGTCGGGCATCGGAATAGATTTGGTTGTTTCTACTTCCGGATTGAGTTAAGGTTAGATATAACAGTTAGGAAATTCAACTAGGAGTTCCGTTTATGAATCCCGGTCAAGAAGTTAATCGAGGAATTAGGATAAGGAATACCAATTTGAAACCTTGTTTGAAACTCCAATCAGAAATTACGGCAGGGGATGGGACACATCTAAATCTCAATCCAAAATGCTCGAAAAAGCAAGCCGCCATGACACTTATAGCGAACTTGTTTATTATCCTGGTTCCAACCTGTACAAACCCGAGCTTATTATCAGTGCGAACCTCAACCGGCGCCAGGCTACAAAAACAAACATTCACAATGAAGTTTGACAGACAACAAGCCGACCCAATCTTGATACCCGATCCAGGTTGGAAATGAATCAAAACCAAATTGGTTAATAAACTAAACTTTTGCTCAAAAATCTATTACGGTACAATCAAATGTGCATGTAGATTAACATAATTTGTCAAGAATAGATCAGACACGAACCAGCTCATAATTTTTTTAACACGTGTTCATTGCTTGGCTAAACGTTTTCCGCGAACATGGTGTCAGTAGTGTGCTTTGAGCAGAAATTTCAATGGTCATTCATGTCGGTTTGTCGGTGCTAGCAAATCAATCTACGAAAAATGTACTTTCATTTTTCGCATCGCACTTCATCTGTTTAGGGGTCGTCCATTATTTATGTCACACATTTAGGGGGGAGCGGGGGTTTGAAAACTGTGACGAGCCATACAAAAAAAAAATTAAGGTCCATACAAAAAATGTGACAAAGGGGGGAGGGGGGGGGGTGAAAATGGGCCAAATTTGCGTGACATAATTAATGGACCATCCCTTACAGGAAATCTTCAAAATCTCCATTAACCTTCTTTATATGTTTATATCTACTCAGCGTGCACGCAGCTCAGCACAGCAAAAACGAAATCATTCCTGAATCGAAGAAAGTGTCGTCTCCCTCGAAATCATGGTTTGGAATTGCGGCTAAGAATTCGGGATAAACATTCCAGTCAAGGGATCTGGTAAGGAATTTCGACACGATACTCCAGTAAGGAATCAAGGCAATATATTCCAACAAATAAAATTGTGGTTGGTAATTTCGATTAATAAGTACAATTTGAAATTACGGATAGACATGCCATTGAAGAATTCTGGTAACAAACTTCAGTTGTAAACTTCTGACAAGAATTCAAGCTTGAAATTGCAGTCAGAAATTACTGTCAAGAATCCAGATCAGGATTTCCATTTGAAAATTTTGGTAAGCAATGCCTACTACACACTTAGATTTTTTTTTGCCGAGATGGGCACCACCGAGCAGCTCGGCATTCTATTTTGCTGGAAAATCAGCAAAAAATATGTTTGTTAGCTGAGATCTCGGCAAAATTCCCGTTTGTTAGCTGAATCTCGGCAAGTTTTTCACTGAGATCCAGCAAAATAAAATGCCGAGCTGCTCGGTGGTGCCCATCTCGGCGAAAAAATCTAAGTGTGTAGAAATTGTGGTTGGGAATTCCGTTGAGGTAAGGAATTCCCTTCGGACCGGTTTAGGAAACCCAGGTTGGGAATTTCGGTCTGGAACTCTAGATCTAGGAATTACAGTCAGAAATTTCAACAAGAAATTTCAGCAAGCAGTTCCGGTAAGGAATTAAGTTATGGAATTCCGGTTTAGGTTTTTGGATTGAAATTACAGAGAAGTTAAGAATTCCGGTTACGAATTCTGGGGGCACATTGCGCATTTCGAAACGAAAGACATTTTAAACGAACGCTTGTATGGACAAGTTTTTCGTTTCGAGATGTGCAATGCAGCCCTTGGTCACGAACTCAGACTGAGAAGTTAAGTTGGGAATTTTGGTCAAGGATTTTAGATCTAGAAATGTCGTTGGACCAGAAATTCCAGCAAGAAATTTGGGTGAGGAATTGAGGAAAGGAATTCCAGTTAGACATGATTGTTAGACATTTTGATTAACTTTTCAGTTATAATTTCCTGTTAGGAATTACAGTAAAGAATTCCGGTTAGAAACACTGGTTACGAATTCTGATCAAGAATTTCGTACAGGAAATCAGATCAGGATTTCCACTTGAGATTTCCACTAAAAATTTTCGACAGAAATTCCCTTCAGTTCAGTTGGAAACTACGGCAAGGAGCTCATGTTGGTAGCACCGTTCAGTTTTTAGATTTAGAAATTCCGGTAAGGAAGTTCGACTAGAAATTCCGGTTAAAAATTTCAGTCAGAAGTTCCAATGAGAAATCCTGGTGGGACAGACAGTTGTTCGAAACTTCGGATAGAAACCGGGAAGAAAATTGCAGTTAGGAATACTAATCAGAATTTTCGGATTAGAATTTCCGACCAGTATCAGGATCAACATTAAAGAATTCTTGCAAAGAATGCCTTCACACCGCATCGGTGGCAAAATCTGTTTAAGAACTCCAGAAAAGAACTCGGAAAAGAATTTCAGTCAAGAACTCAAGGTCTAAGAATTCTGATCAGGAACTTTGAAGGCAGAGAATTACTATTTGAAATTTCGGATAGGAGTTCTTGTCCAGAATTTAGGTTGACAACTCTGGTTTATAATTTGCAGGCTAGTGAACTAGTCTACACACTTAATCTAGCTCGGTAAAATCTCCAACAGCCGATTACCTCGGCATTTACTTTTGCTGATATCTCTGCAAAATATCTGTTTGTTAGCTGATATCTCAGCAAAATATTATTTGTTAGCTGAGTCTCGGCAATTGTTTTACTGAATCTCAGCAAAATAAATTGCAGAATTACTCGGCTGTTGGAATTTCGGCGAAAATTTTTAAGTGTGTAGTTTAGTCTACATAGGAATTCAGATCAGGATTTTCTCTTAGAAATTCCGGTGAAGAATTCCTGTTAGCAATTTACATTAGAATAATCGATGAGAAATAATCCTTCAGTCTTGTTGGAAATTCCGGTGAGGGATTTAGATGTGGTTAATAACTTCAGTCAAAAAAAATGTAGATCTAGGAATATCGACTCCGGGATTTCAGTTAAGAATTCCAGTTAGTCTTTCCGGTCAGGAGTTCTGGGTAGGTATTCTGGTTTGGAATTCTGGTAAGGGATTCCGCTTAGCAATTCTAGTAAAGTATTCTGGTTAGAAGATCTAGCTAGGAATTTCGGTGAAGCAATTCCAGTCAAAAGAATTTAGATCTAGGAATCTAGGATCCGGATCCGGAATTCCAGCTAGAGATTTCGGTTAGTGATGCCGGTTATGGATTCTGGTTAGGAATTCCAGTTGGTCATTCCGGTTAGGAATTCTGAGTAGGTATTCTGGATAGGAAGTCCATTTAAGAAAGATTTAGGATCTAGGAATCTAAGATCCGGTCAAGGAATTCAGTTAATCGTTCCGTTTAGGAATTTTGGTTAGGAAATTCGGTTAGAAATTTTGGTTAGGGATGCCGGCTATGGAATCTGGTAAGAATTTCCGGTTAGGGATTCTGGCTAGAGATTCCGGATACCCAGATAACCAGAAGTCGTATAACAATGTACAGACAATATAGTAAATTGCTACAGTCAGTCAAAATCGCATATTAGAATGGCATACCTCGCATTATGTTTAAGTTAAATCGTATAGAATGCAAATTTCCGTCTTATATTCCATGACTCATTTTTCCGTCGTACTGTATCAATCGTACAATCAAATCGTATATGATGTTAAATCAACTCGTTTAAAATTAAACGAAAATATGCACGTATATGGCCTCCACTTTTGTACGTACAAGCCATTTTTTTGCATTCTATACGACTTGTTTGTTTGTATATCACGAAAACAAATTTGAATATACGTGCATTCTGGTTGTATGGGTAGGGATTCCGGATAGGGATTCCGGTAAAAAATTCTGGTTAGGTAATCCAGTAAAGAATCCTGGTTAGGAATTCCGGTAAAGAATTCTGCATAGGACTTCTGGTTAGGAGTACCGGCTAGGAATTCCAGTAAGGATTCTAGATGGTTAGTTATTACAGTTAACAATCCTGGTTAGGAATTCCGGTAAAGAATTCTGCATAGGATTTCTGGTTAGGAGTAACGGCTAGTAGTAACGGCTAGGAATTCCAGTAAGGATTCTGGATGGGGATTCCGGTTTGGAATTCCGGTAAAAAATTCAAGTTAGGTATTCCAGTTAACAATCCTGGTTAGGAATTCCGGTAAATAATTCTGCATAGGAGTTCTGGTTAGGAGTTCTGGTTAGGAGTTCTGGTTAGGAGTTCTGGTTAGGAGTTCTGGTAAGGAATTCCAGTATGAAATTCCAGTAAGGAATTCCAGTATGAAATTCCAGTAAGGAATTCCAGTAAGGAATTCCAGTAAGGAATTCCGGTAAGAAAATCTGGTAAGAAATTCCGGTTAGGGTTTCAGGTTATGAATTTTGGTTAAAGAATTTCAGTCAAAATAGTTTGGGTCTATGAATATCGACTCCGCGTCGGCGAATCCCGTTAGCCGTTCTGGTTTGAAATCCTGGATTCTGGTTAGGAATTCCGGTTAGTAATTCCGGTTAGTGTTTCCGAATTCCGCTAAATAATTCTGGTTAGGTATCCCAGTTAGAAATTTCGGTTAGAAATTTCAGTTAGGTATTCTGGTAAGGGATGGTCCATTAATTATGTCACGCAAATTTGGGCCATTTTCAACCCCCCCTCCCCCCTTTGTCACATTTTTTTTGTATGGACCTTAATTTATTTTGTATGGCTCGTCACAGTTTTCAAAACGCCCCCTCCACCCTAAATGTGTGACATAATTAATGGACGACCCCTAAGGAATTCCGGGTCGGAATTTTGTTTAAGGAATTTCAGTCAAAATCATTTTGTTCTAGGAATGTAGGATCCGGTCAGGGAAACCAGTTAGTCGTTCCGGTTATGAATTCTGGTTATGTATTCTTGTTAGGGATTCCGGTTAGGAATTTCAGTTAGGGGTTCCAGTTACGGAGTCCGGCTAGGATTTCCGGTTAGGGATTCCAGCTAGGAATTATGGTTAGGAATTGCGGTAGAGAAAAAAAAGAATTCTGGTTAGAAGCTATGGTTTGGAGTTCCAGTTAGGGACTCCGGGTAGGGATTCCGGTTTGGGATTCCGGTAGAAAATTCCAGTTTGGAATTTTGGTTAGAGAATTTCAGTCAACAAAATTTATGTCTAGGAATATCGACTCCGAATATCGCATTCCGGTCAGAGAATCCAGTTAGTCATTCCGGTCTGAAATTCTGGTTAGAAATGACGAGTTGAGATTTAAGTTAGGGATGTTGGTTATGGATTCTGGTTAGGAATTCCGGTTAGGAATTCTGCTTAGGGATTCCGCTAAAGAATTTTGGTTAGGGGTGCTGCTTAGGAGTTCTGGTATGGAGCTGTGGTTAGGAGTTCTGGTTAGGTATCCCAGTCAGGAATTTCGGTTAGGTAATCCGGTTAGGTATTCCGATAAGGAATTACGGGTTGGAATTTTGGTTAGGGAATTTCAGTGAAATTCTGAGTATGTATTCTGGTAAGGAATTCCGGTTAGAGATTTTGGTTAGGAATTCTAGTTAGGAATTCCAGTTAGGAATTTCGGTTAGGGATTCCGATTAAGGTTTTCCGTTAGGAATTCCACTAAAGATTATAATTAACAGTGCTGGTTAGGAGCTTTAGTTAGGAGTTCCAGTTAGGGATTTCGGTTAGGAATTCTGGTTAGGGATTCCGGTTAGGGATTCCGGTTAGGGATTCCGGTTTGGAATTCCGGTTTGGAATTCCGGTTTGGAATTCCGGTAGAGAATTTCAGTCAAAAAAAATTATGTCTAGGAATATCGACTCCGGGATTCCGGTCAGGGAAACCAGTTAGTCATTCCGGTTTGAGATTCTGGGTATGTATTTTGATTAGAAATTTCGAGTAGAGATTTTGGTTAGGGATGTCGGTTATGGATCCATGTTAGGAATTCCGGTTAGGAATTCTGCTTAGGGATTCCGCTTAATAATTTTGTTAGGAGTTCTGGTTAGGAGTTCCAGTATGGAGTTCTGGAATGGAGTTCTGGTTAGGTATCCCAGTCACGAATTTTGGTTAGGTAATCCGGTTAGGTATTTTGATAAGGAATTCCGCGTAGGAATTTTGGTTAGAGAATTTCAGTCAAAGAATTTAGATCTAGGGGTATCGACTCTGGTCAGGGAATCCAGCTAAGTTTGAATTTCTGAGTACGTATTCTGGTTAGGAATTCCGGCTAGGAATTCCAGTTCGGATTTTCGGTTAGGGATTCTGATTAAGGTTTTCGGCAAGGGGGGCGACACATCTAAATCTCAAGTCTAGATGCTTTTCAAATCTCCAACTAGCGAATCAATCTTCGAAAAATCTTCTTTCATTTCTCGCATCTACTTGCATCGCGCATCATCTTTTTGCAGGAAATCTTCAGAATCATCGTCAATCTTCTTCTATCGTAGATAGAGTCATCCCCCTCGGTTTTCGGTTAGGAATTCCACTAAACATTATGGTTAGCAGTGCTGGTTAGGACTGCTGGTGTTAAAAATTCTTTCCCGTTATATCTTTTCGGAATTCCCTTCATAAAATTTGGCTGGAAGCCCAGATCAGGATTTTCTTTTAAGAATTCCAGTAAACTTTTCTATAGTTATCAACTCATTTGTCATTAATCATATATATTTTTTGTTTAATATTTAGAGACACAAATGTGATTTGAGGGTTCATATCCCATCGGTTATGTAGATTTTTTTGCAAATAGATCATTGCGATCATATGTGCTTCGCTTATCCTATAAATATTTTCCAAAACAATGAATTCCATTAAAGATGTCCGGAAAGCAACTGCTATCAGGAAATACTATGTGATTACGAAATTCTTTATCGTTATTCCGGTTATAAATTCCGTACAGTTTTTGAACTCCAGCCGGAAATTATGTTTGAAAAATCCGTTTGAAAATATTTCACGTCAAGAATAATTCCAGTCCAGAATGAATTCGGTCCAGAATGATTCCGGTCAAGAATGATTCAAGTCAAAAATACATCCGGTCATGAATAATTCCGGAAAAGTATAATTTCGGTCCAGAATTATTCTGATCAAGAAAACTTCCAGTCCGGAATTATTCTCGGCAAGCTTGTTCAGATTGCAAGTAAGATCAGGGTTTCCATTTGGAAATTGATTTAAATAATTCATAAAAGCAATTTCTTTTAGAAATTGCGAAAAGGTTAGTAATCCATCAGTCCGGTTGGAAATTCTGGTGAGGAACTCAGTTTGGGAATTTTAAATTTAGGACGACTATACGACTTTAAATTTCGGTCAGGAATTTCGACTAGACAGGTTTAGAAATTAAGGCAAGGCTATGAACTTCGGTTGGAATTTCTTCTCTTCTTCTTTTGGCTTTTATTGCGCCCCTACTGGAACATTACGCCAGGTCTCAACTTGGTGTTCTTTGAGCACTTCTACAGTTGTTAATTGCGAGGTACCATTTTTGCATTAGTTATTATTGTGTGGCAAGTATACTCATACAAATAGAGTCAGTCAAATCGAGAAATTTTCCAACCCCGAAAAAAATCCTAGACCAGACCGGAAATTAAACACAGCCACCTCCAGTATGGTCTTGCGCCTGAACTAACTAAGATAAGAAGAGATCTCCCTGTCCCCGGTTAAAAATTGCGGTCATTAATTTTAGTCAGATAAGAAATCCCCATCTATAGACTATATTATACTTTGAACTGCAATTTGCACAACTTTCCACTTTTTGAAACTCACCTGGAAATCCCGTTGGAATGTTGCCGATTGTCTTGATCGCATACTGTCCGTGTAGATCAACATATTTCGAAATCAAGGTCCCACCGATGACCGCAATCAGCTCGATTGGAACGGGAATGGTGCTTCGCTTGGCGACAATGGGCTATCCGCAAAAAAATAAACAGAAACAAACATTTGCGGTTAGATCAAGTAGGCCCTGCGATGCAAAACAACATTTTTGCGCGGTCATGAGTCATGACATACTTGCAGCTTGTTACATCTGGCGTTTATTAACCTTAGAATGACTGTCTCACCTTCAGATATTCGTTGTTTATCATCACTACCACAATCGTAATGGCAGATATCACGATGGCCGCCCAGTTGACGCTGGCAATGTCCGTAAAGATGGCGATGTAAGTCTAAAGGAATCAAAGCAGTGTCCGTCAGAAGAATTACAGCAGTCGTAAATGCGGGATTAGAGGGCAACTATCTAACTAACAGCTTACGATTCAGCAGTGGTCACACTTACGTTTATCACTTCAAAATTTCCACCCTGGGGAGGCAACGACAGTCCGAGGAGATCTTTGATCTGCGATGTGAGCACGTGGATGGCGGCACCAGTGGTGAATCCGGAAACCAAAGTGTCCGACAGCAGGTAGGAAATGACTCCCAGTCGGCCAACGTACATTATCAGCTGTTGGGGTGTTTGGTGTTTGTTCGAGCGTGGAACGATCAAAAACAAATAAGTATAAAGCAATAAATCCAGGGCAGACGATGCTATGATGGCTGATGATTGGTGTCAATCGGTTGGATGGTATCGGGTTTGAATTTATGGTATCAATTCGATTTACGTAGACAAGATAGAGATGATCGGCATCAGGTTGTTTGGACGGCTTCTTCTTCTTCTTGTTCGCATTTCAAGCTTATTGCTTAGCGCATATTAGCTTATTGCGTGCTCTCAACTTAGTGTTCTATAAATGCACTTCCACAGTTATTAATTGAGAGCTTTCGATGCCGATACCAATGCATGAATTTGTATATTGTGTGGCAAGCACAATGATACTTTATTGCCCAGGGAAGTCGAGAAAATTTCCTACCCGAAAGATTCCCTCGACCGGACCGGGAATCGAACCCGCCGCCTCCGGCTTAGTAATACCGTGCCTTTACTGACTAGGCTGTGAGACCCCCGGCTAATCAGCTTGATTAAGAAATTTCATGAATCCGATAAACTCCAAACTGTGTTTCATTTGACTTCGTAGATGTATTTTTGGCATACTGTACCACTGTGTCACTTTTCGACACACTTTAGAATAACACAACGGCCTACTTCTCTAACTAAAATATCAGTGCCGAAAAGTACCATAATTCTGCGCAGCTTCTAATTCTGCGCATTTCGACGAAAATTTGCAGTGTATTACAATTTTATCTAAATTTATATTTTTCCCATACAAAGGTGGTAGGTATTAACCTTCGTGTACAATTTAATTCAAATTATATGCAATTTATAATTATTTTAGAAATTTTCAAAACTGCACGAAATAATTCCTTGGTGCGCAAAATTACGGTACTTTTCGTTACTTTTTCTTGTTTTTTCGGCAAGCCTCGTTGGATAAATCTAGATAGATGAAAGCCCCTGGTAATTTACAAACACTCCCAATTGACACATACCACCGTCCCAGTAGGCACCTTACTTACCTGCATGATCCCGACAATGAAGCAAACGGTCGTCGCAACCTGCATCGGACCCACCTCCTCATTGGAATGCTTCAACACTATTTTGCCCATCATTATCGTCACTACGGCAAACGTTCCCATCGAGTTATGCCTCGAAGTTCCCAGCACAAAGTACACCAACACCGGAAAGAACGCCATATAGATTCCCACAATCGGAGGCACATTGGCCAGAAGTGCGTACCCCATGCCCTGGGGAATGTGCATCACCGCCACCGTACAGCCACTGATCAGATCCGACACGATGTCCCGTTTCAACGAATATTGCGACATCCACCCGACAATCGGAAACACACTCTTGGCACATCCCTTCGCACTCCACCCCTTGACGCTGTTCAACGCTTCCCGAACCAAGTGCCGCTCGGGAACACTGTACTGCATCTCTTCGTTCAGCTCCTCCTGTTGGTAAAGAGGTCTGGCCACTGCCAACGGAGCTAGCCCTGGTGCGGCGGCCTTCTCCGGCTTAATGCCTTCGTCCACCAGATCCTGGAAGAATCCACGATTGGTAACGCCATTACAGTTCGAACCATCAGACTCGCTTATCCGCGGATCGTAACTTGCACCATGCATGATGACTTCGTAGTACTTTGTTCTTCCGTTTCGAGATCTACTCCCCAAAAAAAGGATATCCTTTCTCCTACCCGACTCACACGCGACTGATTGGACTCACTTCCGCTTGTACTCGATTAATACGCGATGTGTTCGGGGTTGTCGGGGGGCAATTAAGATAGGAGGTGCTGACCAATGAGTGTCGTCAACTAGAGACAGGTATCTCTACACTAGCAGGAACCTGTAATGGAAAGAAGAAGATTTAATTATCATCAGAAGGAAGAGTGCAATATTATTCGTCGTCGTCGTCGTGGTAGTCGCCAGGCAGCCTAACGGATTTTTACAGTAGCCTCCGGTTGTGCATCGTTTCCAGCTTAAAGCTAGTCCTCGTGTAAAATTGTTTTGCGAGACGATAGTCAGTAGTGGGAGGATGCCGACGGGCGGTGGAAATTTATTACGCGCTTAGATAAGTAGTAAGTGTCCAAATTACAAGAAACGGCGCATTGGGCAAGAGGATGTATAATTGTTGTGATGTTAGTAGATAGTTGGCAATGAGACAAACAGGCGTTAATCTTGCCGCTGCTGGAGATGAGGTACATATTTAACTACCTTTGTAGCATTCCGGTGTTGGGATATATTTGTCAAAACACGTGTGTCACTGACTGATTAAAAATAGACGAACGGATTGTAGAAGCGTAAGTTAGATCTCTGGGTTTTTCCTTATCATATTTTCGCGCTGAATAAGCAACAGTTGTTATTGGTCTATTTCATGACGTTTTTGAGGCGAGTGAGTGCGCGGCCCTCGATCAATGGTAAACAAGTGGTTTTTCATAAATAACTATTGATCATGAACATTGATGATTGACCGCCCACCGTTACTTTTTTTTATTATAGAGATTTTTAGCCATATGGGTAGTTCATCTCTTCCCCACCGTTACTGCTCTGTTATTGCCAGATCAGTTACAATTACACAGAGAACCAACAGAGGATGTTTGGGACTAACATTCATCCTCAATGTGTAAAAACTGGAGATCTAATATTTAGCAATACTAGTGCCGGCGGTGTCCGAATGCAGGTCAAATAGGGAATGAGAAGGAATGTATTGACATGATACCGAAATGCACCGAAATACTTAGTCTATTATTTCGGACACTTTTGAAAGTTAAATATCAAAGCCTATCATGCTCAAAACAGCACGTAAAATTTATTAAAACGTTCAGAATTATCAAATATGTTCATTATGTTGCAAAGTAGACATATTAATTAATTAAAAATAAAATATCCGGATTAACGGAATGTCCGGTATTCGGTGCATTACGGTACTCGCTGTGAAGGACACCGATAAGTCCTCTGCGCTTCCACAAGAAATCAGTGGGATGTTGGATGTAGGGAAAGGTTTGCAGAAGGGATCGTTTTGGTAAACTAATGCTGATTGTAGCGATTTATAATAGGTACACAAACACACACACACACACGCACACACACACACACACACACACACACACACACACACACACACACACACACACACGCACACACACACACACACACACACACACACACACACACACACACACACACACACACACACACGCACACACACACACACACACACACACACACACACACATCGGTTCGGACACACAACGTCACAAGCTCTTGGAGAGCATCATCCTGAACAGGCTGACGAAATGCACGGAGAGTGAACACGGGTTGTCGGAGAGGCAGTTCGGATTCCGGAAAGGGAGATCGACGGTGGATGCAATTCGGACAGTGATTGACAGAGCCGAGAAACCTTCCAAACAGAAGCGGAGAGGAAATCGATACTGCGCCGTGATTACGATTGATGTGCATTAGGGTGTTTCATTTTGAAAAAAGTGATGAATTTTTGATAGGCCACCCTCCAGTTCGATTCATAGCCCCAAAATATGAACCTGTGCAAAAAATGGTAAAGATTGATGAAGGTTTAGAGGTCGCGCCAATGATTTGGATTTTGTATGGAGATTTTGGTGAATTAGTATGGGAAATTATTGATTTTCGTTTACATTGCTCTAACTTTGGTTGTAGTTGTCCAAACGTTGAAAAAAAAAAATATGTGGTTGTCATGACAATGATCAACAAGCCTGTTGTTGTTGCGATGAAATTGGCGTTGTTGCCTTGTACATATTCATCTGTCAATTTACCCTATTTTGCCATTTTTTCACATTTTTATAATTCTTGATACGCTGCAAAACTGAGCGTAGCAACTGTAGGCTTTTTGTTTATTGCCATAGCAATAACATACTAAATTTTTTCGACATTTGGACAAGTAGAAGCAAAGTTATAGCGATATAAGCGATTTTTTAAATTCTTCCATAGTAATTCCCATACAAATTTCAAATCATTGGCGCGACCTCTAAACCTTCATCAATCTTTACCAATTTTTGCACAGGTTCATATTTTGGGGCTATGAATCGAACTGGAGGGTGGCCCATCAGAAATTCATCACTTTTTTCAGAATGAAGCACCCTAATGTGCATTCTACCTCTGCAGGATTCTAAGTAGTTACTTCCAGAACCGGGTCCTGGTCTACGCGACAGACACGGGGCAGAAATCGCTTAGAATCACGACGGGAGTTCCACAAGGCTCCATTCTAGGTCCCACGCTGTGGAACGGAATGTACAATGGCGTGCTGACGCTCAAGTTGTCCAAAGGAGTTGAGATCGTTGACTTTGCGGCCGATGTCGTCTTGACGGTAACCGGTGAGACGCTGGAAGAAGTGGAAATGCTGGCGACCGAGGTGATAGATACAATTGGTAACTGGATGCAAGGAGCGAAGCTGCACCACAAAACAGAAGTGATGTTGGTTAGTAACTGCAAAGCAGTGCAGCGGGCAGAAATCACCGTTGGAGAGCACACCATTGTATCTGGCAGTGATGATCGACGACCGGCTAAACTTTAACAGCCACATCGAATATGCTTGGGAGAAGGCGGCGAAGGTCATCAACGCAATAGCCAGAATCATGCCGAACAATTCTGGTTCAAGCAGTAGCAAGAGGCGTCTTCTTACTAGTGTGTCCTCATCGATACTAAGGTACGGAGGTCCAGCGCTGAAAACGAAGCAGAACCAAAAGAAATTGAGCAGTAGGGTTTTTGATCTAATTTCCGTCCTACTAAGCACAACCTGCGCTTTACCTCTCTTTTCTGAACGAGTTTTAACAAAAATTGGAATATTTCTGTCAAAGATGACTTGCAAATTTATTCACCTTTCCATACGTACCGTTGGATTTTATAAAGAATTACAAATTGTTGAGATATTGTCTAAAATCTAACACAGCTTCTTGATTCTAAATTCGTTCTACGAGTTTCAATTCCGTCCTAACGCATTGAAACGCCATTAGATTTTCTTCGTCCTACGGATAAACGTAGAAAAAGGGGATTCGCTAGGAGCGCTTCTTTTGTTTTGAGAACAATGAGCGTTAATATTCATACAATGCGCTCTAACAGGATTTATGTTGTAGCTAATGAACTAACGCATCGGAACAAACCTATTATTAGTTGGTGCACGGTGAAATCATTGATATTATTGATCTTTTCTGATTGATAGAACGGAAATGGGCGATTACGACGAAGTAGCGCTCTACCCTACGTTCCGGCTCATGGCCATGCGAGTCGTGAGTGCGAACCATTTCGATGGAGGCAGTATGCGTTATCGCCGGTATGATCCCAATTAGCATCACCTTGGCGGAGGACTACGAGTGCTATATGACGAGAGAAACCAGAGGGGTACGAAAAATGGTGAGAACGGTGTCTATGGCTAAGTGGCAGCAGGAGTGGTATGCAGCAGAGAACGATAGATGGACACACAGGCTAATACCGACTATTTCGACCTGAGTGAACAGGAAGCATGGAGAAGTCAACTTCCACTTGACGCAGTTCCTGTCTGGTCATGGCTGCTTCAGGAAGTACCTGCATCGGTACGGACACACAACGTCAACCTTCTGTCTGGAGTGTGGGAATGTGGAAGAATCACCAGAGCACGTGGTCTTCGAATGTCCTAGATTTGATGCTGTGCGAGAGGATATGCTCGCCCTTAGCGCGGAGAATGTCGTCGAAGAAATGTGTCAAGAGGAGGGCAGCTTTAACGCCGTCAGTAGATCATGTCAGCGCTGCAAGAGAAGACCAGTTAGAAAGGTAGTAATGAGCTCACACATGTGCAAAGTGAAAACGGAGCCGGGAGAAATCTCCGTCGGAGTAGGCTGAATCCATCGCCGGGGGTTAGCTGAGTAGAACGCGACGCTGGGAGCTATATGGCTCACAAATTGGAAAGACGATCAGCGAACTGGAAACGCTGAGGTGCGTAATGCACAGCCCCCTCCGAAGTAATACGACAAGTGGTTCTGGGGGAATAGGGCAAGGCGTCCAAGGAGGTTTGTGTGCGGTAAGAATCCACCACACCGTGTCACCGCGATCGTGCGCCCGGTCATCATGCGGTGGTACGATAGTCTTTTTGAAGGTTTCCTCCTTGCCACACATACGCACTCATGACTATAAACAGAACATCCGTCATATATCATGGAGGATCCTTTCAAATCCCCATACTCCAGGCTTTCGACGATCCCCAGTTGCTTCAGCTAGCTCTTGCAGGATGGCTTCTGTGGGCGAACTCGCTGTTATCGGCGACACTCTCCCTCACTAACCGACGCTGACCCAACGGACAACACGAAACACTTCACTTGCTCTTCCAAACAAACCACTGGCTAAGGCTCTGAACCATTTGGAGGATTATTTTAACTTTTGGTTAAAATTTGACAGATGGAAAGTTATCGACTAACCCTGCTATCCGAGCGTGGTTACTTCAGACAGACAAGAAGTTAAATTTTGACGACCGTGGCTCGAAAACCGGTCGATCGACAGCACGGGGATTTTCGAACATAAGAAATAACTTTCGAAATGTCATTTTTAACCACGAGTTAAATTTAACTCGGCAAATGGTTCACAGCCTAAATCTATACACCGAAAACATATCATTGCAAGATAGGGTTTTTGATCTAATTTC